CCTTCTTGAAAATAGGGACCACGCTGGCCCTTTTCCAGTCCTCTGGGACCTGGCCTGTGCGCCACAAGTGCTCAAATATTCTTGCCAGTGGCTGTGCAATGATATCGGCCAGTGCCTTCAGTGCTCCTGCATCAGGTGGAGGTCCTGTACACAGGATAGGAACCTGTGTGGATGGTGGGAATTTGCTGTCTGCGTCTCCCAGCAGATGTCAGGGTAGTTTAGGTCCCCCATGACTACTGCCTCGCTAGTCTTTATGGTCTCTGAGAGCCTCAGGAGTTCCAAATCTAGTTCTTCCCCTTGGTGTGGGGGTCTGTAGAAGACCCCTACCACCAAATCCCTTTCTCCTTGACCTCCATGTATCCTAACCCATAATCCTTCTACTTTCTCCTCCTCTGATTCCATTTTGATAAGGGTCAATGTATAACGCTCCTTGACATAGAGCGCAACCCCTCCCCCTCTCTTCCCCACTCTATCCTTTCTGTATAGCTTATAGCCCTCAATGTGTACCGCCCAGTCATAGGTAGAGTCCCACCAGGTTTCTGTTGGCTCCACTAAGTCGTAAGTGTTCTCTGCAAGCAGGAGTGCTAGTTCATCCTGCTTGCCCCCCATGCTCCTAGTATTAGTGTATAGGCACTTGAGCCCTGTTACTGGTGCCTTTGTCGCCCCCCAGCTTTGCATATCCTGTCACTCTTCAAACACACACCCTCCCCACATAAACCCCATTCATTTTTGGATTTCATACAGCCTTAAATGAACTGAGTAAAGGCCTTCATGAGGTACTCTGTGCTGGTGGGCTCAAGATCTATTTTCATGCTGACACCTCCCCAGCTAGCAGTGATTTTTAGCTCATAGCGTGTGAAGCCTGGGGATGGACCTCCTGATACCTGAAATATGATCGTTTATGAACAGGTTGAAAATCCAGCACAGCTTCTTCAGAAGGCTTTTTCACTCAACAACATCAAGAAGGGACTGATTGGAGGGTCCTAATTATGGGGCTAACTACCGCTTCCCTTAATGCTTGATCTAAACTCCAGTAAACCATGAAGGCTCCCAGTGACTCCAGGACGCTTGGGATTGGGTCCTAATTGAAACAAATTTTAGATTTTGAGAAGGTCCATTTGTCTTGTCTCGAGCTGGGGAGCCCATGACTCAGAAGGGAGAATCCTGCTCTGGCTGTTTCATTCAGAGTAACACACACGCTAGCAATTGTACAGTTATAGCAAAACACAGTAGGTACTATTAATAAGAAAAACAAAATCTCAGTCAAACCATAACTTATTTTGCCCAGTTGTGTGTTCATCTATTTTCTTTCACAAAAGTAAAGGCTGGGAATGCTTGCCAGTTTTCCCACATAGCCACTTTGATTTCAGCTTCAAAGGAGAACTTTTATTTTGTTACTTTCCAGACAACTGAAAAGATACGCAGCAGATTGCCATATTTAAAAATCTGAAATTGTATAGCTACTCATTTGGGCCTAACTGCCAAAGAAAGATTTCAAACAAGCAATGAAATACTTGCCCTGAGATGTTACTTATTTATTTTACATTTTCCATACGTTACAATCATCTATCTCACTGCATACATCTGAGTCAGCAAGCCACCAAGGCAGAAAGCCAGCTCACTTCTAAAACTAAGCATAATTCTGTGAGAAACATATTGCTCCATTTAAAAATATCATCAAATTAAGCTGTGAACAATATGTATAGCACATGTGGATCTACGTATTCATCAAAACGAAATGTTGGTAACCTGTTTCTTTTAGGGTGCTTTGTAACTGTGGAATGCATTGTCCTACTTTGTCTTCTCAGAATGAACTTCCTGAACCAGAGCAAGACAATGGTGGCACAACGGAGTCAGTAAAAGAACAAGAGATGAAATGGACGGATTTGGCTCTGCAGTATTTGCATGAAAATGTTCCTCCAACAGGAAATTAGTGAATCAGTGCTATTTCCAGGAGTGATTTCAGTTCAAGATGATGATTTTTCAGCAGCGCTTCACTGTGCCCAGTCAAATAAGAAGGAAATAAGACGTTTAAAATGGTCTCAGTTTAACCTACTTGTTGAATTCCACAAGAAACAAAATACAGTTGGAAAATCCCATAAATATGATGCAATTATGACATGAGCTATAACTGCCAGACAGGCATCAGAATATTTTCACATTTAAAAAATTTAAAATAATTGGTGTCTGATATTGAGAATTATTAATAAGTTCGTTGCAAAGTTACCTTAATCTTAATTATTTTTTGCATACTTTTGAAGTAGTAGGTATCATTTCCCGATGTTGGTTATTGTTATCAGAATTAATTTGGTGAATATTCATGGTTGCTATGGTGTTTTATAGCCCCATGGATATCCATTTTGCATTTTAGTGCCACTCTTTAGAGATCATAGTACAAAAACCAAGCAATTTTGAACCAATTTGTACTGCCTTTAACTGGCCTCTGGCACAGAAAGGTCATTTGGGTCTGGGTAGAAAGATTAGTCAGTGGGATTAAGGCAGGGGTCAGCAGTCTTTAGGAGTGGCAGGAATGCCACTTTTATTGTGGCAAGATGGTGCTTCCAACCTAGCTGCAGCCAGTACTACTTTTCCCTGCTGCATCTAGACTTTCTTGCTTGGATAAAATTACTCTGTGCGTCAGTTTTGACCTGTGGGTTGCCAGCCCCTGAATTAAGGGGCTGAAATTTGTAAACACAAAGAGAGGAGGAAAGGTTCTTTCCAGTGAAGGCAACCTTGGAGTTTTTGCGTTCTGATTGGAGAATATTTCCAGTGCTGACATCCTGTGGTATGTTGGCTAAGATGCATACTGTAAACACTTTATATTAAAAGACCTTGTTGAAAGTCACTTGAAGTTATTGAATTTTGGGTTTGGTTGTGTTATTTAGAAGGTATTACTGAACAGGTATCCACACTTCTCGTGGAACCTTCTTAGAAGTCTCAGAAGGGATATAATAGCCAAACTATCAACTCAGCCGGTTGGGTCATTAAGATGAGCAGCTGAATTGCCCATTGAAGTCGGTGACCATGCAGTTGCTTATACCAGGGTTGAATCATCATCTTGCTCTCACCACAGCACCAGCCAATGCAAGGCATATATTAAATACTGTCTAGGCCACACTGACAGAATATATTTCTGTTAGTACTGAAAACACATACAAATATTCATTTAAAAAATGTTTTGGCTGTGAAATCAAGCACTTCAAAATGCCAGAATTGTGATTGCTGTTTCCACCTGAATGCCACTGCTTTTATGTGTATGCATTACAAGACAGTCTTCAGCTTTGTACAGTTCTTTCACAGGATCTCACCCCACTGTGCACAGGATGGACAGAGCTCAGGAGCAGATTGGAGTTGTTATTAGTGAGGTTCCTAAGAGCAGTATTAAACTGTTATCCTCCATGTGGACCTCTACAGGGATGAAGCACACACTTTGCCATTGGTTTCCACAGCTTGTTGCTGACAGCAGCAGCGTGCCAAGATTTGGGAATTCTGGGTTTTATTTCATATCTTGGAGAGTGCCCCCCAGCCCCCTTCAACCTCTGTCCCTGCACCTTCATTTCAGTCCCATCTCTACCTCAGCAATTCGTCTAAGTCTCCCCTCTCCTCTTTGTACACTTGTTCAAATCCCAGACCTTGGCCTCAAGAAAGTATAAGTAGTAAGTCACTATTTACAAGTGTCTTGAATATGGTAGAAGAGCTGTGGAGCTGTGCCTTAAATGTCACTGCATACGTTCTCCACGGACCCTTAAGAAGAAAGCTGTGAAAAAGGGATCAAGAAATAGGTAGTTTCTAGCTTCAGAGGAGTAGCCGAAATATGCTAAAAATGCTTTATTTTTCCCTAAGGGTAGTTGTATTTGTTTGAATAATTGTATGGCATCTATTCACTATGAAACCAGATACAACGTTCTTTCCTGCCTGATCTCTGTCCCTCCACCTCTTCAGTCCTTAGCTGTCCATTGCTATAGGACAGGTCTTATTCTGAGGTTTTGGGTTTCATTCCCACTGAACTGAAAATATTTTAATAAGGTCTAGAAATGTTGGTGATAGAGAAGTAAGAGGTCTTGGAATAAAAATATTTTAAACACTTATCATAAGCCAAGCCATCAGTTGAAATGCATTTCTTTGAGCCTACAGTTCTCAGATCCACTAGACCAAAGTTTTAGAGATTGTTCCCCTCAGTCCCCATTTTTATGGAATGAAAATAATGTTGCCTATCAGATGGCCATGAACATTTCCCTGTGAACTATTTTGGTTGCATGTTAATTTGGAAAGACTAGGGGAGATCCCTTGTTCCTTTGTTAGTTGTGTCTCCCTATTCTCCCAAGCAAAGTACTTAGAAATTGACTTGGACTCAACCCAGCCCAGCTCTGCATAAGAAGCACAAAGCTCATGCCTCACCCCCACCCCTGCTTTCCCTCTGATTCTTCACTTCCACTCATCATTTGTTGCCATTTTTGATGACTCTCCGTAACAAGAGATCTGAAATGATGAGCTTAGAAGGGGTGGAGCTCTATTACTGAACCAGTATTTCATATTTTGATGCTTCAGACTCGGGTCAGAAAGAAGCAGGAGTTTTGTAATTGCATTCAAGTCCTAAAACCCACCATACAGTTCACTATAATCCTTAATAGTCCTCATACAATCTGACATTTATAGAATGGGGCGGGGGGTGTTCCAAAGAGCCCTGAGATCCAACCAATGGACCTCTCTATTGATGCTTTGATTTGATGTTCTTTGTCCTATTCCTATACCAGAGAGTCTCTTGGCCTTTTTCTCTCCCTGGCTTTGTGCTTAGTGGTCACCTTGCTTGACAACAAATCTGACAGATGAAGCATGAGAGAAAATGGTTGCACCATCTGTGGTAGAAAATTGACAAATTGAAGCTTACTGATTGTATCAGAGAGTTTTAAAATCCTCATTCTACAGCTTTGGGGGAAGAAAAGGCAAAGTTCTCTTGCCTGCAGCTTTCTTCTGCAAAAGCTCAAACAGCAGGTTTGTTTCTGCTTATACACAGCCTTTATTCTGGCTTTCTGCTCAGTAGGCCACTCAGTTGCTTCATGAGCAGTTGCTACTGAGTAGACTTTATGGTTAAGAGGAGGTTAAATCTGTTTTAACCATTGTTAGGCACTTGGCCATGTGTCCTGCTTTACAAAATGCCAGCTGCTAGGCTCTCAGCTCCTCTGAAGAAAGTTAAGTTGTTTATTTAGCTATATAAATATAGACTTAACTGGTCTGAATTTTTTTTAAAGTTTTAAGTACCTAGGTGCTTGCTGTGACAAATGCTGAGCTGTTGAGATATTGGGGTCACCCCAAAGCCCAAGCTTTTCCCCTCTGTTTTGCTGCATGTCTAGGGGATAGACTAGATCTTGTTCCTGAGGTGACTTTTCACCCCTAGCCAACCTTAGGCTCCCTCACCTGAGTCCAGACTTCAGAGCTCCAGTGGAAGATGCTCTGCCACTCTTTGGGGTTGTCACTCTGGGCTTGCAAAAAAGAGAGAGAACAGATTCCCTCCACCCCTCCACTTCCGAGGAAGAGAAGTGCCTGCATCATGTATTGTTTTATGATCGTGCTTGCTGTGGACAATCGGATAAAGCAGGAAAAAAGGTTTGAAAAGAAAAATCATACTGCTGAAAGCAACTATGTTTTGAGAGAGATAAGAGGTCAAAAATGCAAGTTTTCACCCTCCTCTATCTAGAAACAGCTCCAAAGTAATTCTTTGTAACCAGCAATTTCTGTGCAGATGGCTCTTCTTACCTAGTGTCCTGCCAGCTCACAGACTCCCTCTGATTGCCCTAGCTCAGCAGTAGATGGCTTCCCCAAGTTTGGGAGTATCTAGTCTTTTTCACCAGCTTAGAAGCTGGGATCGGAAAAGGTACCTCTTCTCTGGGAATTTTCTGAACACCCCCCTCCTCTCAGGCATAAGCTCTTATATCTTCCAAATACCTTTCCTTTCTGGGAAGAAAGGATATTATGTAGATGAGCTTTTCCTTTCCACCAAGTAGGAGTGAATGAAGGTGTCACTCCCTTTTCGAACAAAAGCTTTTGGGCCTATTTAGCCACTGTTTTAATCTATCCAAGAACCAAACATGACCTTCTATGAATAGGAATGACTTGCTTTGTGAACACCCATCATTGCCACCCTGCCTGGCCCAAAATGCATACCAACTGGATGTCTCTTGGGTATGTGCTAAATGCCTTGCATATCTTCCAGTTACACAATAAAATTGCAGAAGTATATTTATGTCAAATACTAGGCAGGCAGCTGATCAGGGGAGCAAGCAAAGCTCCAGAGCCTCTCCAGCCCCTGTCCCACTCCAGCCAAGGCATTGGGAATCCAGACTCAGCTGGGGGTGGGTGTTTTTTCTTTCTGTAAGCCTGCTTCTAGGCTGGTGGGAAACACCAAGGGGGGCTGGTTAGGAGGGAAGAACCTGCCTGCGGCTGCCCAGATACTTGCATCCGTTGAAATGAAATGTTTTTCTAATGTAATGCAGTTGGGTAGAAGATATAGTATAAAGATGTAAAGGAATGAACTTCTCTTTGGAAAACTCCATAATACTGTCTATGAATTAGGATAACCAAAACAAGTAAATCTGGGAGATGTTAAGAACATAGATTGCAATTTCTTTTTTTGTACATACAGCCCCTAGCGCAATGGAGTCCTAATTGCTGTTTGATGTCTATGGGCAATGTATAATTATAATAATAAGTAATTATAAAGCCAACTTTTTATTAAAACTGTTGACAGCTACTATAAGAATTGATTGAATACAGTCTCTTTCAATGATCACAAGATGAACATGAGCCACCAGTGCAATGTCGCAGCTGGTAAAGCAAACAAAACTCTGGCTTGCATCCATAGATGCTTCTCAGGTAAATCTCAGGATGTCATCCTCCCACTACTCAGCCTTGGTGAGGCCGTAGCTGGAGCACTGCATCCAATTCTTGGCTCCACAATTCAAGAAGGATGTCGAGAAGCTTGAGAGAGTCCAGAGGAGAGCCATGTCCATGATCAGAGGGCAAGAGAACAGGCCTTATGAAGAGAGGTTGAGAGCCATGGGACTTCAGCCTGGAAAAGCGCAGGCTCAGGGGTGACCTGGTGGCTGCCTATAATTACATAAGGGGTGTGCATCAGGATCTGGGGGAACGTCTGTTCACTAGAGCGCCCCAAGGAATGACAAGTACCAATGGTCATAAAAACCTTCGTGACCATTTTAAGGCTGGACATTAGGAAAAACTTCTTTACTGTCTGAGCCCCCAATGCCTGGAATAGACTCCCTCCAGAAGTGGTGCAGGCACCTACTCTGGACTTATTCAAGAAACGTTTGGATGCTTATCTTGCTGGGATCCTTTGACCCTAGCTGACTTCCTCCCCCTGGGGCAGGGGGCTGGAGGTGATGATCTTCAAGGTCCCTTCCAGCCCTAATGTCTATGATATCTATGAAATCTATTAAATGCTTTAATACAAAGGTGGCCAACCTGCGGCATATGTGCCACAAGTGACACGGGCAGTTTCTGTATATGACACACAGCAGACCAAAGGGTGGACAGGCAAGGCAGCTGCAGATAGGGCAGGGAGCAGAAAGCTGAGCAGCTGATTGGCTAGGCTAGAGGAAAGGGATGGGAGTTGCAACTGGGGAGCATAGGGCGCTATCTGTGGCATGCGTGCCAGAAAGGTTGGCCCGTACTGTCTTACATTCTCCAAATAGTAAGTTTATTGAAATTTAAATGCTTCAGTGTAATTTAAGGGATACATGTTCTGGCTATTTTAAACCTCTTTGTAACCACCAGGAGGAGCTAAAGGACCTTTCCTTTTCCCATGTAATGATTGAATGGTGTTCATTTCAG